TATTGAACTTAAACTGTATGAATTTGAGAGAAGAAATTTATCGTAAAAAAAAATCATGTAATATACAGAATTTTGATAATAGCAAATACAATCGTTCATGAATCTGTATAATCAATTGTCATCTGTTCATAGATAGTTGTAAGACACTTGTTGTCATTGAATGATGGTTGACTATTTGCTTCTGCTCATTTTATTTTATTTTTGTGTATGGTCAAAATGAAACAGCGGGTGGGAGAAGAAAGAATAAAATGCCGCTCGTTTTTTTTGGTCCTTAATTATCTATCGTTTGTGTCTCTCCGACTATCTATATTGTGGAAAGTCAACAATAATTAAATAAAATAATCTTTTTTTTTCTTCTTTTCTTAAATCAAATCGATTGACAATCAGACAATTGATTGTTAGTGTACTACATCATGTTCATTTAATTGCCCTTTTTTTTTTGGTTTTTAGTTGGCTATCACACAACGACAACTCCCTCATCTACATCATCATCCAATTCGTCTACCAATGCTGGTGGTGATTCAAGAGTTAAAAATGATTATGATAATGGATCAGGACGTGGCAATGGAGGAAATGACTGTAGCTCGAATAATGGTCATCAACAACAGCAATCATCATCTTGGTCATCATTGGTAAAATCTGAGTCATCACAAGGATTAAGAGGTAATATAAGAAATAATTTTCGGAATAAATAAGATTTTTCTTTTTTTTTTTTTTGATTCTTAGATCCTTATTCAACTTTTACAAGTCAATCATTTTTTCCTCACAATGTCCATCGATTCGGTGGAGGAGCTACTGGTAACTATTTTTCTTTCTAAATAATATTTAAAAACTATTTATATTTCTTTAGGTACTGGACAAATACAATTGTGGCAATTTTTACTCGAACTTTTAGCTGATGCAAGTGCAAATTCAAATATTATTGCTTGGGAAGGTTCGAATGGTGAATTTAAATTAATTGATCCCGATGAAGTTGCACGTCGTTGGGGTGAACGAAAATCTAAACCCAATATGAACTATGATAAATTATCACGTGCATTACGTTATTATTATGATAAAAATATTATGACAAAAGTTCATGGTAAACGTTATGCATATAAATTTGATTTCAATGGTTTACATCAGTTAAATCAACCACAATTACCTGAATCACCTTATGCAAAATATCAACAAGAAATGATGCGTTCATCACATGCTCATGCTGCTTATTTTAAATGGAGTGCACTAAGTTCAGCTGCAGCAACATCATCAGCTGTTCATATGCCACATCATCATCATCATCATCATCCAGCAGCAGCCGCAGCTTCAACATCTTATACAAATTATTGGAATCACCCAAGTACATATGACTATGCAGCTAATTTTGCTACGCCTAATCCATATTTATCATCATCGTATTGGGTTAGTCCAACTGCAAGTACAACATCATCAACACTTATGTCAACTGGAACAGGAGGACTATCATCAACAAACACAACATCTACTGCCATTTCCCCATCATTACACTATTGAAACTAAAGAAAAAAAAAACCCTATTGTTCTGTTGTATACAATTTCTTTCTTTTTCGAGTGAATTAAAAAATCACACACCATTATCAGCACGATGTCTTGTCGATAGTAGCATGAGGCACCTGGAAAAAAACATCTGCATGTAAATGTGACAATGAATGTCTATCTAGTAAAATTCACTTAGCATGAATAATGATCTATCGTATGTATAATGCTCTATCATTGTTGTTGTTGTTCCTACGATGAACTTATTATAACTTTTTTATTATTATTTTGCCTTCTGCTGCTTCATGTTTTTGTAATTGAATATGAAAAGTGTCGTTCATTTCCTTTTTCTTTTTCTGTCTATTCATTCACACCTTACATAATGTTCATATTATTGAAAGATCAAAATTCAGTTTTAAGTCAAGTGCATCTTTTATTTAATTGTTTCTTCGGTTTTCAACAGTGTAAACGACACGAACAAATAATGCGGTATGATTGAAGACAAAAAAATACATAAGAAAAGGATGTTTCATTCTCGAAACAAGTGCAATTCGTTGATGACAGAAGTGTATAGAAAATGTTTAATGGCTAATTTGAATCATCAAACGACGAAACAAAGAAGAAATGAGAATTGCTTTATCATGCCTTATTCTCTTTTGCGTACTAAAACAGCTGGTGCGATATGTTGCACATAAAAAACAAACAATAGTTAATAGAGTTTCTTCAACGACATGTTTCTTTTCAGTTTTATCTATATTCGGAAATATACAGACCTACACTTATAAATTTCATGATGCACTTTTCAAATAGAATTTTCATATTATTCATCGTAGTGTGTATTGTACCACTGCGAACGAATGCACAGTTTTATAATGAATATTTTGGTACGTAAATGAATAATATTCTGATAAGTTTAAGAAAGATCGAAAAGATAGTAAAAAATTGAAATATTAAGAACGTTTAACGTTTATCAGATAGAAATAGACTTTTTATTTTTTTTTATTATAAAAAAAAATCATTACAAATAAAATATGTAAATAATAATATTATACAATTTTCATTTATGTTCAGATGATTAATTAAAACAACTTTTCAGAAATTATTTTGAAAAAATTGTATCCATAAGATTCGGAAATTGTAATATCTTTCTCTTTTTTATTATGCAATTTGCATATTCAAAAAATTAATTTTCTATATTAATATTTAATTCTTATGTATTTAGAGGGACTCACTGATGACGTTACTTCTGTTATGAATGAATCATTAACAATCATTTTATCAACAAAAATTTCGAATTCAACATATCAACATTCATCTTTATCTCCAATACTAACAGCTTTATCAACGAAATATACATCTTTGACTGAAATAAACAATAACATGAACTTAATTTCTTCTGAAAATCAATCCACTTCATTTTCATTGTCATCAACATCTGCTACAAGTCAAAAACCACCGATGACCGTAGCACCTTATGCACTAGTTAGTTATCTTGTTGATCAATTCAATCATTATCGTAATATTGATATACTTTCTCGTATAAAACAATGTAATTCAAATATGAACCTTGATGATATGTGTGAAACATATTCATTTGATAATCATACGTATTCATTAGTACGTGAATCCAATATTGGATTTCAATCATTACAACATATTTATAATGCACTTATCGATCGAATAATTGTACAAAAATTAAATACACTTTGTTCAACTGCTGAATGGTGTTTGGGAAATTTAACAAAATATAATATTCGTTTTACTGTTGATGTTTTTCGACAACTTGGACATTCATTTTGTTCACTTGAAAGCTGCTATCCTCGACTTCAGGCACACACAAAGGCGTGTCCATCAATTTCGGCTACGGTATACATATATATTAAAAATTAGAAAATGTCAGATTAATTTTTTCTATTTTCAATATAGAACATAAGTAAACCAACGTTAGCATTACTGCCAATGCTATGTACTCTTTATAAGGAACAACAAATTTGGAATTCAACTGAATGTACTGATCAAGTAGTGTATCTTCTTCATATTCTTTATGCATTTTGGCCACAACTTGAAGTAATAATCATTTTTTATTGATATCAAGATTTTTATTTCATTATTTATAGACATGTTATCATGTGATTTCTGCTGGTTCTGGTGGTTGCACATATGACTGTTTAACATTCGATTCTATTTTACATGAAGTTGAAAATCAATGTCATGAAAAAGCTTCATTTTTAACATCGTAAGTTAAACAAATTTTTATATCCGAAAATATCTTTTGACTTTTAACACTACAATTAAAACAAGAGTTCCTACTTTGGCTTGGTATCGGTTAATTAATTTACAACAAATATGTCGTCATGAAACAATTGCAACAAAACCTCCATTTATATCTTCGGTAATTTAAATGAGTATAAAAGATCGTATAGGTAATTTGAATATTTTAGATAAAAAGCTTTATATCTTCTAATATGATCTGGTATCGATTTCATCAACGACCTGTTCATGCAGCTTTATTTATTATTATTGTCATCTGTATTGTGATTAGTTTTTCTTTATGTCTATATTTTATGTCAAACAATGGTTCTGATTCAAATACTCGACATTTTGATGATGATTATGAATATACACGATTACATGATTCAACATTTGAACTTGGTGCAAATACCGAAAGTACGTATCTATCTATTTTATATATTGTTTTAATTGATCTATTCTTAGTTTCAAATAGGAATTCAACATCAAGTGGAATAGAAAACGAATCACAATTTGGTCTCAATAGTAATCATCATTCATCAGAAGAACATCAACGATTGCTGTAAATGGAATCATAGATAAAGATGATTTTATTTCCTCTATCTTATTTCGTGTTTTTTTAATAATAAAGAACATTATTCTTTCTTGCATTATCTTAGTATTGCATGTGTCAAGATAGTTCATATCGTAAATAATAATACTGTATTCGAATAGAGAACTTCTTGAAGAATTGGCAAGTAATGTAACAATAGAATTGTATGCGGTTGAAAAAAAGTGAGAACAGAAACACGATGAAATTAATCGATTGCAATTTTATGGATTCATTGAAGAAGGTCATACTTTTTTTAGTGGAAGTATGAAGAACATTTGATGATTTCTTTCTTTTGAATTCAATTTTGATTTACGTAGTGAAATCAAAATGACAACAAAATTTCATCATCATCTTAAGGCTGAATTTTTGTGGTGTTAACTGTTACATTGATGGAAACTATTATGTAACGTACACTTGACAATTTTATGTTTTCTCTTTGTTGTATTTTACAATTGAGAAGAGATTTTTTCATTCTTTTTCTTTTTCGTCTCATCCTTTTACAAATACTTAAAGAGCCAAGAAAGAAAGAAAGCAACAGTATCTTAGTTACGTTTGCATTTTGTTATAGAGTTTGTTTCAACATCAACATCAATAACAGACAATTGTTTTTACTAATAAGATTACGAACGAGTTTACAATTACAGATTTCTTTTTGTAGATAAGAATGGCATATAATAATGATTTTAATTCATTATTATCACAATTACAAGAACTTGAAAAGTCAAAAGATTATTTAACTATTGGTAGAACATTAGATCGTCGTTTTGATTCAAAAATTAATGATATTATTAAAAAATGGATATCAAATGATAGATTATCGGATGAAGAAAAAAAATTTATTGATTTATATTCAAATCTTCAATTATATTTTGTTGAATATTGTGTTTTTGATTCACAACTAATAATAAATAATGAAGATATTATTGAATTATTTCGTACATGTTTATTTCGAACAAAACAAATTGAAGATTTAAAACAAGCTGTTATATTTGTTCGTGATGAACAACCATCTAATGATAATACAACTGAAGAAGATGAAATGCTAATTTATCTTATGCGTATGCTTGATGCACGATCACTTGCGTATCGATTATGTTTCAGAGATCTTAATCCACCTCCAAAAAATCTTAATAATGAACTTAATTTATGCCTTACTCATTTTCATGCTAAAAATTATTTATATAATATGAACTCAAATAATAATACAAATAAAAATATGCATGTTAGTTATCGTCATAGATTTTTTATTGGTTGTTGTACATTTGCTGTTGCATCATTCGATGAAAATAGAGGATATTTAAAAAATGATGATAACAAAAAATATATTTGTTTACTTGCAAAATATATTCGAATTGTGTTAAGTCAGAAAAATTTCGAACGAAATAAATCATTTCTTTATTGTCTTCGTGGTATTCTTGCCTTACTTACTAATTGTGTTCCTACGGAAAATTGGATTCATATTATTAATAGAGCATTAGCAAATACAAATGATGATGATGCACAACAAGCAAATCCATTTAATATTGATCTATTTTCTTTAATAATTATTCGGTTACTAGGATCAAATATTCTTCGAGATACAGCAATTCGATCAGATTCAAATGATATTACTTCGTTAGTTGATGTGGCACTTATATTTCTTAACAAATGGTATGCTACATCAATAGATCTAAATGATAATGATGATGATGATGATGATGATGATGAAAATAATAACACATCTTCGTCATTGGATGAACCAAATCAAGTTCTTCGTCTATTGCGTTCGAGTGTAGTGAAAGATGGCAAGTTAACTCCAATAGTAGATGAAAACTTGAAGACATCTAAAAAAAAAAATTCTAGTAGAGATCAACAATTAAATACATCTCAAATAATAATTCCTTATATTGATGCAAAATATGATCGTCTTCGTTTTATGGCCATGTCAACATTATCATGTACAATGGATTTTCACGATTTTTCAGTTTTACAAAAGAAAAAACCCAATATGGCTCAAGATATAGTAAAAATTATATTTGATTTTATTGATCAAGCAGTTGCTCAAGAAAATTTGCAATATAAAGGAATATCATTCGAACTACTTCTCCGTTATTTACTTCGATTTCTTGTCCAAGATTTTGTTAAAGGACCAACGATTCCATATATATCAAAAATCGTTCATTACGCAGAACAACGTCATTTAAATGCACTTAAAATTCTTCGTAAAATTTCTTCATCACCAGATATGAAACAAGGCCTTAAAAATAATATCGAATTAAACGAATTTTTAACAACTAAAGCTCCTGCTTTATTTGCTAGTGATCCAAGAATGAAAAAAATTATCGAACAAATTCGTCAAAATCTTGCACCCGAACAGCAATACGAGCCTCTAAGTAAGGAATAAAATCTTCTTAGAAACGATTATTTTTTTCGTTTGTTTGTTTTTTTTTTAAGTTTCAGTTGATACGAATAGTCGACAAGCGTTTATTTCCTATAGTCATCGTGATAAAGTTCAATGTGATAGATTTGTTCAAGCATTAGAACAAGCCAATCTTTTTAGAAATGTTTGGGTTGATAGAAGGTATATGAGAGATGATATGGTTGATACAATAACAAGTGCTATTCGACAATCAAAAGTTGTTTTTGTTCTTCTTAGTAATGCATATTGTACATCAGATTTTTGTCGACGTGAATGGCAATTTGCTATAACCAAAAGTATTAAAGTTTATCCTGTTTTTGTTCAAGAAGATTTTCAAAGAAATACCTTTGATTGGGTAGTATTCAATATTGGTCACAATCGTTTTTATAAAATTTATAAAGATGGTGAATTACAACATTTAATCAAGAATTTACGTCGTGATGAGCATGAACAATCAAAATCACCACTTGATTTAAATGAATCACAAGTAACAATAGCAACAACAATAGAAACTAATCCATTAGATAAAGACGCAAATTTGAAAAAAAAACCAATAGCTAAATGGACATCCGAAGATATTCAAAATTGGTGTCGTACAAACAACCTTGAAAAATGGCGTACACCATTAAATAGTTATCATGGCAAAGCTTTACTTGAACTAAATAGAATGTTAGAGAATGACACAAATCTACAATATATTGTCAATGGACGTGACATAAATTTGACTGATGTAGTTCTACTTAAATGTGAACTTCATAAATTATTATCGAAAAGAAAAACAATACGTAAACTACCAAAGAAAAAAGACATAACGAAACATCGTTCCACGGACATATCAACTAAATAAATATAATACATTTTTGACTTTTTTTTTTTTTTATTTTCTTTTTGAAGAACATGTAATAAAGAAAAAAAAAATATCAATGAAACTTTAAAATATAGTTAGAGAATTGATTCAATGCCTTTTGTAATTTCTTCATCTAACGGTTTAACTCGACTATTCCAAGCAGCAACTAGATGACCTTGTCGATCAATAAGATATTTATGAAAATTCCATTTAGGTAATACATCATTTCCACCAGCATCAATAATCCATTGAAATACTTCACTTGGTTTATCTTTATCTTGTTTAGTTGTTAAAGGAAATGTTGTTTTAAATTTACTTGCATATAATGAACATACTTGTGGTTCATCACCTGGTTCTTGTTTACCAAAATTATTACATGGCACACCCTAAGAAAGAAAACGAAAAAGTCTTTTTTTTAGATCGTCTTTGATTTTCAGATCAATTTAGAAGATATTTAAATATAATATGAAGAAAGAAATAGAGTTCGTACCAGTACAGTAAAGCCTCTATCTTTATATTTATCGTGTAATTCTTGTAATGTATGTAATTGAGGTGTATATCCACATTCACTAGCTGTATTAACAAGTAAAATAACTTTGCCACGCAATTCATTCATATCCAATGGTTGACCTTTGATGTCGGTAAATTGACGTTCATAAAGTGAAGGTCGACTAGCTGGATCATTAATGTGTGTTTGACGAGCAGAAAAGAGTGATTTACCGAATTGTAATATAGTAGCCATGTGTTGTCGTCCTTTTGAATTCAATAAAATTGCACCAGCTAAAAAGAAAATGGAGAATACGACTATGTTACTTGTGCTGAAAGACATTTTTTATTCTCTTAAAAAAAAGAACAACACAGAGCAAGAATAACGACTAGAAATGATTATATACGCCCTACATATAAAAAAAAGATAAAAATAACAATGCAAAATGTTTATCTAGGGTCATTCGAAGTCAATGTTTATGATGTAGAAAGAAAGAAAGAGAGAGAAGATTGAATGAAATTAAATCTATTGGTTGTTTCTAACAGACGTTTAGATGGAGTTAGTTAACAACAACAATTTATTATTATTTTTTATCAGCAATATTTAATAAGGTAAATTAAGTAATTTGAAGTAATTATAATATTTGAATTAATATCTGTTTCAGTAAAATCTTCTAACGTATAAATACATCTTGAGACTTTTTGCATGTTATTTCCTATATTCGAAGGATGTTGTTTCCATATTTTTTATTGTTTCATCGAGTGTTCATGATTATCCAATAATCTTCAATTTCTATATCAATATTAATTGAAGACACATTTGTTAGAATTAATGATGAAATTATGATAAGGATAGGTTAGGTGCCGTTCAATTATCGAACTTATTTGCCCCAACTAACCAGCGATCTAAAAGTGAAACTTTATCTTTAATGAAGGAAAACAAAATAAAGACGAAAAATTTGTATTTATTTCTTATTCGTAGTCTATACTAATTGAATCACTTGATAGACATAGCGCCAATTATAATTTAGTTCGGCAACAAAAGCAACTTCTGTTAATTGAGAAAAAGCTAATAGATTATGTTCTTATTTATAAATAAGTGTCTTAATCATTTATGTCGCAATAAAGGATTGAACGGAATACTTACGAAATCAAGAAAAAAAAAAAGTAAAATTTTTCATTAAAATTCAATTCAACCATAACGAACCAATATGTCATTAGTACTATAGAGTTGTTTTTCGGATTGTCTTAGACAAAAAATGAATAAAATCAAGCATTCTACATCTAAAAGTGATGTATTTTTCGCCGATAATAACATAAGATTAAATAGTTTATTGTACGGCTAATAAGCTTCTTAAACAACAGTCTTCATCATTGATATTAACAATTGTAGCTCAACAAATCTGTTTTATTCCTGCATATACCAGTCTTTCTGCAGATGAATCCCTACCTCAATCGTATTAATTTTTAAGTAAAACATACAAATATAATAGATCACTTCGTTGACAATAATAATTAATGCTTTTCATGGTTAGAAGATTGAGTGGAAAAAAAACTCTTTCTAATTACATTGATATCTCTATTTCTGGAGCATGTTTTGTATACCAAATGTTCAAATTGTTGAGGAAAACGTTAATGCCAATAATAATTATACTATTATCCGTACATATTGAAGTATACACACATGCCTGAAGTAGATTCATTGTAAACTTGACTTTCTCTCCACTACCCATTATTTCGTACAAACTTCATAAGATTTATGAATAGAAACGTCAAGATTTTTTTTAAGTGTCTACCTAAAAGAACCTTCTTTCAATAGAAAAGCTTTACACATTTCAACAGAATTTCTCTAAATATTTTCTAGCTTATTGGTTTTGTTCATTTATTCTCCTTTTAAGCTCAGTATTACGCTAATTTTGATTATAGATCATTTTCGAACAAACACCGTATACTCGTCATCGTTCGGCATCTCTATTGGATTTGTTCTGTTTATTCAATAAGTATGCATGTTCAATAAATCAAATTGTTTTCTAGTCGGTTATCATTTAACAAATTTTTTTTTGTCAAACACCAAACAGACTAGATGAATGTGACTGAATTAAGAAATGTGATTAGTATTACCCTTCTAGGAGTACCAATCACATTTCTTGAATCAGTTTTCATTCATCTCGTCAGTTATAGGCTTAATAGGAAATGAGTTCTCACGCTTATTTATAGTTATTGTTCCCTCAAAAAGAAACTGTAAAGTTATTGCGACTGAGCACATGTTAATAATTGATTTAGAGTTACGTCAATATCAGCATTAGCACATGTTTTGATCAGACAAACACATAATAATCGAAAAATTTTTGTGCTTTTTCTTCAGTTTTCCTTGCATGAGTAAATGAAAAATCTAATTGACCATCTGTAGCACACGTAAGAAAAATCATAGCCATTGAATAATACACTCAACAATTATTAACAACATGCAATCGCCGTAATTGTAATTGACCTTGATTACAATTAGATGAAAATCGATACTTACCAATGTTAGAAAAGCATGATTCTTATGTAAATCGTTCAGAAGAGAATCAACTAAATCGATCAAATTTATGTTGACTACTCAATTTTTTTTTTATAAAGATGCATAGCATAACACTCAACATCACTTGCTAACACAGTATTAATTGCTCTTATACATATTCTTTTTCATATGTCCAAAACGGTATAGAATGAAATCTCAGTTGTCTTCTCAATTTTACTTCACAAACACGAATATGAAAACTCACGGTGTCAGATATCAATGATAACTGAGGTAAACATGAATACATATTAACAGCAAAATCCACATTAAATGGTGCCAAAATGTCTGTTTTTTTTTCTCGCTTGGAAAACAATGTTGAAAAGTCAATAACAAACAGCCAAATAATGGACCATTCAATGTGATTTGTTGATTATGACATTTCTCATGTAAACGTGAATAGACAGTTGATGAACTTGAAGTAAATAAAAAATTATTTTTAAAATGATTGAATACGAAATGGGATTGATTTGTCATTTAGCCGAATTAACTTAACAGAATGATGTAAATGACTAAGTTTACATAATTCATGCTGTTACATTTGTTTACTAACCTATGCATGCCATGAAATGAAAAAAAGGATCATATGGATGAGGTCTCAACTGAAGTATATAAGGAATCACTTGTGTATTAGTAGGTGCCATCCTATCACATAACCCTAATGACGCAACTAGAATTAAAAAACCATTCATTAAAATGTAGTCACTTTGTACATCAGATGCACAATAATTGCTAAATAGAAGTGAATGAAATACATTGTGATTCGACAGCGAAGAGTTTTCGTTTAAAATAAGCATGCAATTGATAAGAAGAAAAATGGTCATTTCATTATTAGAATTTGGATTTCGATTACATTCATTTTTCTATTATTTTTTCCACGATTGATCATTTGTATTAACAACTGAATAAAGTAAATTTGTCATAAAATATTCTTCATCATAGTCGAAAATTTGAAGTGAATGTCGATAACTTTCAATATATAGACATACTTGCATGCTGGAATATCGTTTAAGTAGATGAAGAATGACATATTGAATATTATTAACAATAATCGTTTGTTCACTATAGTTAAATGAGTAGCATGACAGTTAGTTGATCGATTCCTATGTACACAAAGAGCGCTTTTCGATCGCTGGTAGTTTTAGTACTGATACAATCTTTGGTGACATTATTTCCGAAGTCATTATGCGCAGTTCTGGAGCGCTGTATTAATATCAGTAGAAAGAAAAAAAAAAGAGTCAGTGACATGTTTTTGCTCTTCTCTTTCTATTATTTCTGCATGACATGGCAGCTTTTTTGAAATACAATATTTAAATTTTGTGTTAACTTTTGGTGTATTCTGAGAATCTCTCATTTATATGCAAGCAGAAAAGAATAAATTTCTGTCCTATTTAAAATGTAATTTTTGTCAAAGTCGTCTTATTTACGGAAAGGTTTAGTTATGAAAGGAATAAGAGCAGTTAGTACAATTCAAAGACTTTTTTATACAAACTGAATAACTATATTTTTTATCATGATTACTAAAACAAAATAAATCATTCTGCTTATTTTGTATGATTTATAACTACGTAGAAAATAAACTTTTCTACAACAATACAAAAGTCAAAATGGCGAAATTTTGTTAAAAATGATTTTCTGCTAGAAAAAAAAAATCACTTCTTGTTTTCATAAAACCATTGTTAAAGAATATTCATTCCTTCTTTTAAGTCTTTCATGAGCCAATAGAAAATAAACTGATTGATTAAGTTCTTGGCACTTTTTTATATGATTTTATGTAGTTCCTTCATTTAAGAATAAGTGTTTCCAACACATTTTCTAAATTAATGCCATACGCTTAATCATTTTGATTGATTTAGAAGGACATTCTCGTTCAATACCAATGGTTTCTTCAAAAGGATAGTTTAAAAAAACAAGCAAACAACATTCTCACAATTTTTTGTGTGGACGTATATTT